TAATATTTCGTACTGTATACATTTCCAACGAAAATTCTAAAGGAAAGGAAGAAAATGAACAAAACGATCCAAGGTCGGCCAGTTTCAAAGCCTGCAATGGTTCCTTTTATTCGGACCGAGTGTTCTGTTTGAACTGCGTCTCTCTAACAATGAATAGTATCCCTTTCTAAACGCCATCCCTTCCTAAACAACATCCCTTCCTAAACGGCATCCCTTCTACCTTCTTCAACGTTTCTTTTTAGAACGGCGTTCCTGCTTGAATATTGGAAGGGACATGTAGAATATTCTAGTTTGGTTTGCTCACTCATAGCGAACAGACGCATTTTCGTGATAGAATGGAGATAGAAATAAGTGATATGCCAACTATGGATTCGCAGTGTTCCATAAGCGGAGTTACTGAAGAAAGAGAGTCACACTTTCTTGGTGTGTACAATAACGCTGACATAGATGGTGCTATTAAACTAGAATATTAAATATTAAATATTAAATAAATAAATAATAATTATTATTTAAATAATAATAATTATTAAATAAATGAATAAATATTAAATATTAAATATTAAATATTAAATATTTAATATTAAACTAGAATATTCTACATGTCCCTTCCAATATTCAAGCAGGAACGCCGTTCTAAAAAGAAACGTTGAAGAAGGTAGAAGGGATGCCGTTTAGGAAGGGATGTTGTTTAGGAAGGGATGGCGTTTAGAAAGGGATACTATTCATTGTTAGAGAGACGCAGTTCAAACAGAACACTCGGTCCGAATAAAAGGAACCATTGCAGGCTTTGAAACTGGCCGACCTTGGATCGTTTTGTTCATTTTCTTCCTTTCCTTTAGAATTTTCGTTGGAAATGTATACAGTACGAAATATTACATGAAATTTTAGAGAGTGGGAAAACCAGCATAAATTTAATTTTCACATTATTTCACAAAACACTTTTAATGTTTTGTGAAATATAATTGATACCTATTAAATATAATAACCATTTAATACATTCCTTTCTCATACTTTGTTTAGCGTATCCGTTTCGTGCTATTAAAATGAAAAAAAACAAAACGAAAAAAAAATTTGGTGGCCCGAGGATCGAACTCGAGCCAAAAAGTTGACACGCCGCATTCAGCCGCTGCAGTTACTGACTTGAGAGCCTCGCTTCACACTTAGTCTATCCGCCGCTGGAATAGGAGACGTAAATATTGCATTTTTTTTCTCCGAGACGAAGAGGTGTTGAGACAAATCCTTTTACACAGAAGGTTTATTACCGTTGTGGAATAACCTCAAAAAGATTCGTCCCGATCCGTGAGATTTCGTACGTGCCTTCCCCTTGTAAGCAAAAAAGAAAAGTTTTCCGTTCATCTGCGAAATCTAATTATTTCAGACTACAAAAATAAGCTAAGTTAGCGTAAAACAGCCGAAAAATATAAAATTTGGAAAAGCGCAGTTCATAAAATTTATACAAAATATTTACAATATAACACTGTCGAAAATGTATATGGTCGGAAATGGAGACGTAATACAAGTACATACGATGACAGAAGAATTGTGAGAGAAGCTCAACATAACTCATCGACAACGTCACAAAACATTGTTGAACACAATTAAACTACAATTAAACATATCTCCAAGAACTGTGGGATGAAAATTAAAAGAAGTGGGTTTAAAAAGTTGGGTATGTAGACGTAAATCATACATTAATAAAGTGCATAAAAAGAAACGTTTAGCTTTTGCAAAAAAATATGTAAATAAGCCATTATTATTTTGGAAACGAATAATATGGAGTGATAAAAGTAAATTTGAATTATTGAATAAAAAAAAAGAGTGCAGACGTATGGGGAGAGGATGAATAAAGAAGTAATATGTTGTACCAACAGTCAAGTATAGAGGAGGTGGAATAATGATATAGGCTTGTTTTTCGTAGTATGGGATTGGAAATTTAGTAGCTATAGAATCATGAATGCTGAAAATATATTAACATTTTAAATGAAAATTTAGAAGAATCAATTCTAAAAATGGATCTTGATAAGGAATGGATGTTTCCGCAAGACAATGATTCGAAGCACACAGCAAAGAAAACGAAACAATTTTTCCAGAATTATAAAATAGAAGTTCTTGAATGATCTCCACAAAGTCCGGACCTTAACCCAATCGAAAATTTATGGAGTTTACTGGATGCAGAGATTCTATTAGAAAAACGCAATAATAAAGAAGAGTTTTTTTTTTAATAAATTGTAATTAAAATTTCAAAGAATTGATAAATCTGGAAAAACTTGTTGAAACTATACCACAATGTTTATAAGCAGTAATAAAAGCAAAAGGCTATAATACAAAGTATTAATACTTATTTTGTATAAAGCGTCCACTTAATTTTGATATGTGCAGTTTTATGTTATTATCATTAATCAATAAAAATTCTAATATATTATTTGTTACAATTGGTTTTTTTATATTTTGTCAAATTATACTTCGTTAATTTAAGTAAGCAATAAAGGTTTGATTTTTTGACATTATTAGTTAAATTAACCCTTTGTGGTCGATGCCGTCACAGTGGCAGCATTGGCAGCAGTGGCAAGTCGTCGTAGAAGTCGATGCCGCCAAGCTGGCATTCATGACCGCCTGACGTGCGGCACGGCGAACGAGGCTAGCGATAATGAAAGAAAACTATTCTCTCGATTCAAATGTTTAGATCAACTTACAGATATCAATGTTTATCGATCTCTTCGAAATCTGCCGACCTCAAAGGGTTAAATTAACCTTTTGTTATTTATGATCCTGTCCACTTAATTTTGTCCACGTTTGTATACATATATTGTATATATATTAGGATGTCTCAAATGTACTGGACTACCATAATAACTCTTCAGTATTGAAGTTTCAAGGAAAATGATCTGAATAAAAGTTGTAGGGGTTTAAGTGAGCTATCTTATGATGACTTCGACTTTGACCTCGACCTCTATTTTCAAGGACATTTGAAAGTCAACTAGCATTTTTTAAATAGGAACCCTTATTTTTTATTATACTGTTTTTTTCTACTAGTTAATTTGAACAACTTTTGTCTAAAATATTTTTTTATTTGTCTAATATTTTTTGAGATATTTGAGGAAAACTTGATAACTTTTTCAATATTTAACTTACGATATCTCGCTAATTATTTGTCGGAAGAAAAACTGGTACTAGACTTTCTTGCTTTATTTAGTTTCAAGAATATATTGTTACAATAGCGCCCTGATTTTTGTTAATTTGATGATTTTGAAATTTCCAAAAATCAGTACGTTAACAAAAGTCAAGGCGCTATTGTAACAATATCTTCTTGAGACTAAATAAAGCAAGAAAGTCTAGTACTACTTTCTTTTCCGACAAATAGTTAGCGAGATATCGTAAGTTAAATATTGAAAAAGTTATTAAGTTTTCCTAAAATATCAGACAAATAAAAAAATGTTTTAGACAAAAGTTGTTCAAATTAACTAGTAGAAAAAAACAGTGTAATAAAAAATAAGGGTTCTTATTAAAAAAATGCAAGTTGACTTTCAAATGACCTTGAAAATAGAGGTCGAGGTCAAAGTCAAGGTCATCATAAGATATCTCACTTAAATCCCTATAACTTTTATTCAGATTATTTTCCTTGAAACTTCAATACTGAAGAGTTATTAGGATGGTCCGTTACTTTTGAGACATCCTGTATATCTAATAAATATATATATACATATATATATTAGGTATACAAATAAATAATTCAAATTTTTTAAGCGATTAAGAAATTAAATTTCAAAAGATCAAATTTTTTAGCTCTTTTACGGTTACGTAGTGTTGACATGTAGCAATTAAAAATTACATTTAGTATGGTGGAAGACTCAATATAACCTCAAAAATTATTCAGTTCAATACAATCAAAAATCAATCAAAAAGGTGCGTATCTGACATTGCATTCTTTACGAATTCCAACAAGGGAAAAAATGCTGTAAAAGCATGCAAATCGATTTGTTCTTTTCTCGGCGAAGATGTTGTACCGTACGATATGTGTGCATTTTGATTTGAACGGTTTAAAAGCGGCGATTTCAATCTGAGTGACAAAGAACGTCCTAGAGGCTTTCGGAAATGGATGATTTGGAGCAACTGTTCGCTGAGAATTCAATACAAGCGCAAAAAGAGCTTGCAGAACAGTAAGGAGTAACGCAACAAATTATTTTCAAACGCATATATGAGATGAGGAAGATTCAGAAAGGAGGAAAATGGGTTTCGCATGAACTTACTGAAGTCAACAAAAATCAAGGAGTCGCTCTGTGTCTTCCTTCTCAAAAAGCAGCATAGAAAATCTTTCTTATGGAAAATTGTTACGGGCGATGAGAAGTGGATATCGTATGACTATCCGAAATGCAGAAAGTCATGGGTAAATCCCGACGAACCATCAACATCGGTTGCAAAGCCAAAACACCTCGGAAAGAAGATTCTGCTCTGCATTTGATGGGATATGAAGGGCGTGATTTACTATAAGCTATTAAGAGTGAATGAAACAAACAACTGCGGACCGCTAATAACATGTATTAATCCGTTTGAGATAAGAGTTAGAACGAAAACACTCTATAGTGGCAAAGGAGAACGTCCTGTGAAATTGTTGCGATAACACTAGGCCACACATTATTTCTACGACATCATAATGAGTCTTTTAAAATGGTCCCTAGCTGGGACATCTCGCAGCACCCGGCGTATTCACCAGGCATCGCTCCTACCATTACCACTTGTTTCGGTCGACGCAATGTGCCTTGTCCGATACGCACTTCAAATCAATGGATGAGATCCGAAAATGGCTTGACGACTTTATCATGACCCAAAGATACAATTTTCTGACATGGAATTCATCAGCTGCCTGAAAGATGGCTTAAAGTTATAGAAAACAACGACGAATACTTTCATTGACAAATTTTACTTTCTTTTAAAATAAACCTTGAATTTTGCTGAAAATTTTAAATTATTCATTTGTATACTTAATACACATGATTACCTACCTCCAACAATCTTCGCATATATCGGTGACAGGATTAACGACAATAACGTCAGTAACGTCAGTAGGAAGGTTGCCACGCCAGTTGACATTCTTAATAATAGCCTTGGTCGCAGGTTTCTGGTTCCAAGGACTCTCCGCGGCAGAAGATATACCTCGTCTAACTTGTCCGCTCGCTCATATCCATTTGCTATCAATTTTCCTGGTTCCCACCATGTCGCAAACAGTTCCATGATAGAAGTGGTGGTGGAGTGTGAGATCATCTCATGTAAGCCTTTTTTCATTTCTCGTTCCAAGCTATATCGGATGTTTCAGATCACCCGGATCATCCGATTTTTTCGTTAACGCAACATTTTAGAGAAAAATATTTCAGACAAAAGTGGTAGAGCTTCAAAGGATCTATTTATTGATGCTATGAATTTGACCTTGAGATAACCTTGAAAAGTCCAGTCAAGATCAACATAAAAATCTGAAATGACTGCGATTTTTTATTACACCGTCTTTTTCCACCAATTAATTTGGACAACTTTTATCTAAAATATTTTTCATTTGCCTAATATTTTTCTAGATATTGAAGGAAAACTTGACAACTTTTTCAATATTTAACTTACGATATTTCGCTAACTAGTTGTCGGAAGAAAAAGTGGTACTAAAGTTTTTTGCTCTATTTAGTCTCAAGAATATATTTTTACAATAGTGCCCTGACTTTTGTTAACTTGCTGATTTTTGGAAATTTCAAAATCATCAAATTAACCAAATTCAGGGCGCTATTAGAACAATATATTCTTGAGACCAAATAGAACAAAAATGTCTAGTACTGCTTTTTTCTTCTGACAAATAATTAGCGAGATATCGTAAGTTAAATATTGAAAAAGTTATCAAGTTTTCCTTAAACATCTAAAAAATATTAGGTAAATAAAAAAATGTTTCAAACAAAAGTTATTCAAATTAATTGCTAGAAAAAGATGATGTAATAAAAAAATTGGGGTATCCATTTAAGATTTTTATGTTGATCTTGACTGGACTATTCAAGGTTATCCCAAGGTCAAATTCATAGCGTCAGTAAATAGATATTTTGAAGCCCTATAACTTTTGTCTGAAATATTTTTCTCTAAAATGTCACATTAACGAAAAAATCGTGTGACCTGGGTGGTCTGAAACACCCGATATAATTAGCGTGTGTGTTTTCGAGGAAAATAATCATTTTCACAGTCATTTACCGTAGAACTGAATAGTGTGTAGTCGATAAATTATCAATGTAAGATTCGACGCACAAAGTAAATTATTTCGTGGAAAGGAAACCAATACATATACGGTGAATTCAATATGTAAACTTTCCGTTACAAGAAAAGCTGATACTTTTCGTAATAATATCTTGTGTAAATTTTATGCTTCCGTTTTCACAAATAGCAATAGAGATTTTTTATATCTTGTTACAACATATATCCACTCAAAGTTAAACACAATTACATTTGGTTTAGATTCCTAGTTCAAATATTTTATGTATATTATTGAATAAATATAATGCTATATTTATATAAAAATTTAATTTTTTGCGTTAGATATAATCTGTTATGTTGCATTAATTCCAAATAAATCCCGCATTAACGATGTTTACATTCCTATATTATAATTTATTTGCGGAATTTTTTATATAACGTTAAAATATCGCGAAAAATATTTAAAGAATTACGAAAAAGAATTTAATTTACTCTGTGTTAAAATTATTCACCATATTAGTATTACTATATGAATATTACAGGTGTATTTATATTGAACATCCTATATACTGATGTCTTCATTTATTCTGAATTTATTCTGAATAGAAATATATTTATGAAATTTTATCAAGAAAACCTTGATACGATATACGGTAGAAGGATAAAAAGCAAGATAATTTACTTTGGGATGAATAAGTTTAGTCATTAGTATATTACTATACTACAAATACTACAAATACTAGATTTTAAAATCTATTCTATATAATTGTACAATTATTATTTCCATAATATAATTTAATAACCGTATAATTGTATAATACTGTTACTTCCATAATTATCATTTAATTCGTTATTTTTTGTATGGATCATACAACGTCGGAAACTTTTGCATTAATAAACATCGTACTAATTGTAGTCGTTATAGCTATTAACTAAATTATATTTGTAGACTACATTTCTTAAATTTTCATATTCAGGTCTCTTCGTTACAGCTTATTTACTCTATCACATAAAATTATTCACTAATTTTTATTAAATTACAAACTTTTACATAATTGTTTATAAAATAGTAGATTATCAGATAGTAGATTAGAATAAAATGACAAAGTTATTTTATTTTGATTTAATTTACATATACAGGAGAATTTTCCCATTTATCACCTGACTTTGTTTATATGTATAAAATAACATACAATACTTTATACAATAGTTTATTGATCACAATATAGTTTCTTGAAAGCTTCCTAAATTCATACGTTCCACTTTTTATGAACAGTTGATCATGCAATGTCAAGTGCATAATCGACAGTTGAATCATGCAAGTACAATCAGCGTTCAAGAATCAGCCAGTAACATTTTATTTGCTTTAAGAATCTCATGTAACGACATAGAGAGAAATGAGAAAAGAAAAAAAATTTTTGAAAAAAATAAAAGAACTCGGTCAAGAGGCATGGTAGTGCCTCGCGCCAAGTTGAGCGCAACGAAGTGCGCCCGAACGGCGTGAGACAAACCGTGCCTTTATTACGTGAAACTATAAGTTAAAAAACAAGGTGAAGTATTCATATCTCAGCAATGGCTGAACCGATCGAGGTCTTTTTAATCATAATCGATTCAGCCTTAAAAATAGAAAGAAAAGTGTTATAGTGTTTTTCGTGTACGTTGTCTCCAAATGGAGATATTTTAAGATAAATTCCTCATCACGGAAAATTTCGATTCAGGAAAAAAGTAAGAAACGCTGGACATATAAAAGGGGAAAAACATGCATCTCGTTTTTCCGACACCAGAGGTACTACCATGCCTCTTGACCGAGTTCTTTTATTTTTTTCAAAAATTTTCTTTCTTTTCTCATTTCTCTCTGTGTCGTTAGCGCTAAAAGCGCGCTAAAAGAGCAGACAGCAGCAAGTGCGAGTGAGCAAGCGAGGGAGAGTGAGAGAGATAAGAATATGCTATTTAGGGAGAGAAATGTGCAAGCGAGCGAGAGAGAGAGAGAGAGAGAGAGAGAGAGAGAGAGAGAGAGAGAAGGAGAAAGAAAAAGAATCGATAAAAATAATAAGGTGAGAGTATAGCCTTTTATTAGTTATTTAGTTATTATTGATAAACAACAACATTTGCTTTGTTTATAAACAGTACGTATTTCTAAAAATGCGAAGTCTCTTCTCTACTCACATATGTGTAAAGATTATCTATTTAAATATAGTGTCCAAAAATTATGCTTGATAAAAGTTCGAAAATTCTTCTATTAATAACTTTTTAACAAACAACGAGCGGCGGCTCAAACCTTTTGCATGTTGCTGAGAATGATGTCCTTGACAATATATGTCAAGATCAATGTCATTGCAATATCTTCCCTTAAATAAGAATTTTACCGAAACTTCTTTTGTTAATAACTTTTTAATAAACAACAACTAAAACTTTTTAATAAACAACAGCTAAAACTTTTTGCATGTTACTCAGAATGATGTCCTTGACAACATATATAAAGATCATGAACTTTTGAGGAGCTTAACCTTATGTGCATATTTACCTTGTATTAATTATTTTTGAAGTACTCCGGCCATGCCACTCTTTCTATCTAGGGGATGTAGTGATAGATTCGAGTGTACGTACCAGGTATGATGCTTCTCCACAGTCGTCCTACACTCGTAATACCAATTATGTTATACATACAATTATGAACCATATTAACCCTTTAACTGTTACGGTCGAGATAACTCGAGTGGAAAAAATGGCGGCCTTGCTGATTGAGTTTACTCGATTTGGATTTTCAATGTGTAATACCCATTTAATTTAGTTTGTAAAAAGCATTTGAATTGAGCGGGCATATAGTGCCATCTCTTATCATTATAAAATATTTTATAATTGTAAAAATAACTCAGCAAAGAGGGTCATACTGGTCATTTAATATCTCAGCAGTTAAAGGGTTAAAAATGGCCAGAAGTCCTCCGCTGTCACCCTGACAAACCCTGATGTAACATGTTACACAAAACATACTGGTTTCGAGAGGAACATAAAACTGAAACTTTTTATTTTTGCGTGGATGGTAGAAACTATTATTTAAATAATTTTTCGGATCTTCTGATCTTTTGATGCTTTTCCGTTCTAACGTCATCTAATATTGATTAAATAATATAACTGATTATTTTATTTAGATCTAGAATAGAGATGTGCGAATCAAGAATTTTTATGTCGAGTCGATTCGAATTGAATCTCATTTTTTAAATTCGAATTCGAATCGAATCGAATCTATGAAATTTCATTCGAATTCGAATCGAATCGAATCTATGAAATTTCATTCGAATTCGAATCGAATCGAATGAAATCGAATCGAATTATTAAAAAATTTAATATGACTATTAAATATGTAAATAATGATGGAAGATTTTAATATGAAAGGGAATATTGATATTGTAACATCATTTTAAAGTAAAATATATATTTAAATATTTAAAGTAGTTTATAATTAAGTTATTAATTATAAATTAAGTTAATTACAAGTTAAGGGTTCAAACATACAGGCCAAAATGGCCTATTTTGTAGCTGATGCACGCAAACGATAATATATTTGATTCCTATTCGAATTATTCGGATTCGAATCATAGGGATTCGGATTCGAATCGAATTGAATTACATTAGATTCGATTCGATTCGGTTCGATTCGAATTCGAATAGTTCGCACATCTCTAATCTAGAATTAGATTCAGAAATTACAGTAAGATATTGTTGAAATTAATTATCGGAAATATGGGAAAACAATTTTGAAAAGAGAGAGTAATTTACATATTATTAGATAAATATTCTCGACTCGAAGCAAGAATTAATATTACCTGACAAGTATCTTTTCCTTTTTCTCCTGCACATATTTGCCATTCGTCAACAATGCCTCGTGTGAGCTTGATAATGCTATTGACATCGAAAAAGCTCTCATTGCAAGACTGTTGTGGAACCAAATTGAGCGTCACTTTTAATAAATAGTCGGAGCCCTATTCGCATCGGCTATAGCACAAAGCAATGCAAAATTACAAAGCTATTCAAAGATTCACAACAAAGATACGTTTTATAATATTTTGTAATCCAATTTGCTTCGTAATGTTATATATTCTAATCAAGAAACTTTTAATGCGTAAATGATTTACTCTATATTTCTATATTTTACCATATACAAGATTATTTAAAAGGTATATTGTCATAGCTCCTCTCAATGTTACCTACAAAAGCACGCAAATAAAAACATGTAGTTCCACTTAAAAACATTATACCTCGACATTCTAATCTCTTAAAAAATGACCTTTAGGAAGAAAATATTTTGTTATCATACGAGAACTGTATGATACGTACCCGTGGTTAACGACAGATAATACCACTGATCCAAAATCTGTATACCATCGTGTAACGCTATCTTTCGAACGATACCTGTTAAAATTTCAAACAGATTTATCAAGTAGTTTTATTTTGATAGTGGGCAAGTTCGTATTTATTTACAACCATCAGAAAAAGAGCAATATCGGGCAGTGATTCGATTCCTTTTTTTGGATGGGAAGACATGTGAGGAAATCAAAATGAAGTTGCATGCCGTTTATAAGGACCTTCGTTTATAAGGACCGTTTATAATGCACCTTCGATGACTACCATCAGATATTGGTTTAATGAACTCACGCGTGGCCGAACATTCGTTTTTGATGACGAGCGTCCAGGCCGATTGAGGTGACTGCGGAGAATATGGTCAACAAAATCTATAATATCGTATTATCAGACCGCTGGGTGAAGATCAGAGAGATTGCTGACATTGTAAAGATCTCAATTGAACGCATATAAAATATTCTAAACAAAAAATTGGGCATAAGAAAGCTGTTGATGAGATGGGTGCTGCGTTGGCTCACAGTAGAATCGCATGACAACTTCGGAGCGTTGTTTGGATATGATTAAACGCAATTCGAAAGTGTTTTTGCGGCGTTTCATGACTGTTGACGAAACATGGATCCATCACTTTACACTAGAAATGAAAGAACAATTAAAACAGTGGCCTTCATCCGGCGAACCTGCTTCAAAGAAGGCGAAAACAGTTCTATCGGCCGGAAAACATGGTCACCGTTTTTGGAATTCGCGAGACATCATCTTCACCGACTATTTGGAAGACCAAAGGACAATCACGGAATAGTACTATGCTGATTTATTGTGCTGACGCTAAAATTGATGAAAAACGGCCTCATTTGGCGAAGAAAATAATGCTCTTTCACCATGACAATGCACCAGCTCAGTCGTTCGTAATCGTCACAGCAAAACTGGTCGAATTACGCTATGAATTGCTACCTCATCCACTCTATTCTCCAGATTTGGCCCCATGAGATTTCGTTTTGTTTCCAAACATGAAAAAATGGCTTGGTTCACGTCAAATGAGGAAGTCATCGTTAAAACAGTCTAATTTGCGGAGTTTGACAAGTCATATTTTTTGGATGGCTTAAAAAAGTTGGAATATCGCTAAACCAAGTATATCGAGTTGAAAGGAGGCTATGTTAAAAATAAATTTAAAAAATTAAAAAAAATGCGTTTTCTTCCCTAACACGGGTACTTATCATACAGTTCTCGTAATTATTCACCTTAACAAAATTTTTTTTCAATTATTTTTCTATATCAAAAACACACACAAGTGAGAAATTTAAGATATTTAATTTAAGTGGACCATCTTATCTACGTACACACGCAAACATATTCATTTAAATATACTCTATATAATAAATAAATAAATAAACATATGTATTTTTTTAACATAAATCAATTTCTATAGTATATTCCACATGTAAAATTACTAAAATAAAGTAATAAGAAAATAAATATTTTTCGAGCTGTTTTGCATTTTTTATCTTGATATACTTTTCAGTACAAGATATTAAATATCTCGTAAATTATTGGTAGATTTCTTATGTATTTTGTACTTTACAATTTGAACACTTTCCTCATATTATAGTTTGGGACATACAGCTGATGCTCCGATGACAGACTTTAACTTCTGACAATTGAACCAAAACAATTTCTTTTGTTAGATTATCGGCTTATATTTAAAGTTGCATCGAAAGAAATATTCAGACCGTTTTGATATTAAGCATATACCCGTTTCAATAATCGTTCACAAAAATTTTGTCCGATAAAGTAAAAAAGCACAATGAATAGTTACAATTATGAGCTGCTAAGCAACTTGCATAATAATCTGTTATACATATTATTAACTCTTGCTATAGTGACAATATACGAGATATAAGTGATAATATCCGACGTTATAACTGCAGCAAGAGATTCAGAAAAAAACCCAAATATTTTTAATATACTTTTATCTATTAGATAAAATTATAATAAAGGATCAATATCCGCACTATGTGCTGTCATTTAAGACTTCTGTCATAAAATCGATTACTATGCAAACCAATCACTAGGCACGTAAGCAACGATTCGCAATTGATATTTATTTAATGTGCTCTTGATTTTTTATAGAAAGAATATGTTCAAACTGTGTTGTAGGCGAATGTATATGATCATGTAAGATCTATAATAATTTCTTTTTTCAGAATCATGTAATTATAAGAAAGTGTGCTCTTTACAATCATAGTTTAATTAATTAATTCGATGATAATAGACTACTTCTATGATAATTGACAAAGTCATACGTATTTAATTGATGATTAAGCAAAGTATAAATTTTGTATGTAGGTCATGATCATATGAAAAATTTACATAGTTCCTGTTTTTTAGATTACATAATTATAGGAAAGATTTTTGTTATCTCTTACCCCAATCAACACGTCCCTATCCAATAGCAACTGCTTCGCCATCAGTACCAGTATCAGGCAAGTCAACCGGGAGACATGCCAGTCTGGCTCATCCAGTATAGGTAACTGAGGTTTCCAACTTCATTATGGCTATATCATAGTACTGCGATAGGATTTGATAGTCATGATGCAGTATTCTTTCGACGATTCTGATGGTTTGCGTTCTTGCATTATCCATTCGTCCGCGCTAGTCATGTTACCGACTCGTGCCCACTTCACGATTCCTCTTTAAGATGGATGTATGTAGGATGGAAATGTATTAAGATAGATGCATTGAGGTTTAAAAGGAGGAAAGGGATAAGATATATAATATTATATATCTATATACTTCGACTTACCAATCTTTGTTATGAGTACAATGGGCTGTTGTCAATACCATTCTGTTGGAAATCAGGCTACCACCACAATGCCACAATATCTCATTCTTTCCATTTTCGAATCTGATGGCTGTCATGTGCGGAAATTCTCTCGGTTCGGCTACTTCACGTTCGACGATTAATTTGCTCATTATCAAAGCGTATTTCGACATGTTCACTCGATGATCTGGTAAAACTTAAATACTAATTCCAAATCAAAAACAGCTTCCGCACTCTCCGCACATTCTATATAAAGAAATTGTATTGAAATAAATATACATATAGTAATTACTTACAAAAGTTACATCTCAAGGATTATTTTTATTTTAATATATGAAGCGTTTTCTACGATATAAGGATGCGCTAATGCTTACAAAATAGAGGAAAAATGTCTTAATAAATATGGGTCGAAAAATTAATATTGTCGATAAAATTAGTGTTGTTGTATGTTATAATTGTACTAATATTGTTGTTATAAATAATTTATTTTAATTAAAATAAATCATTTGCTGCTGGTACTTTCGTGCTTTCATAGTACGATAAGAATAATATCGTATTATTGAAATAAAAAAATGGCAGACATGCATTTCATGTATGGTTGTGCATCAGAAGTGAGTTAGTCAGCTTTATTTAATTTAAATAAATAATTATTCATAACTTCGACAATATTAATTTTTTAACATATATCAGGACTTTATCTTCCATTTTATGAGTATTTTATCTGCCCTTAAAGTCCTTTTTTTTTAAACAACCTGTATAATGGTTACATATATTGCACACATGAAAAAAGAATAATGTTAAATAAAAAAACAATTTTATTCAAAAAGAAAAAAACGACCACATTATATGTTAGCATAGCATATGCATGCATTTCGATTATATTTGTATAACAGCATTTTTCCATTATTGATATATATCAGGTGTAATAAAAAGAAATCCATTATTTTTCCAACAGATGGCTTTAGTTATCTGTATCTCGCGTTGTATAAGTCTGATCGGGTTCCACTAGATGGCGTTAGAAAGATGAGATTTCATACTAAAAAAACTTTTGTGACAGTTTTGTGATTAATTGACTCAGTTTTGTTTGAGCGGGCGTCAAAGATGGACACTAATAAAGAGAAAATACACTATATTTTACAGTTTTTCTTCGATAAAGGCGAAAACGCAAGCCAGGCGGCTGAAAATGTGAATAGTGTTTATGGTCCTGATACTGTAACAGCCAATCACGCGCAATTTTGGTTTCGTCGGTTCCGTTCCGGTAATTTCGATGTCAAAGATGCACCACGTACTGAAAGGCCAATTGTCGAAAATATCGATAAAATCATGGACATTGTCGAGTCCGCCCGTAAGCACTGTTTCGATTGCCCAAGAGCTAAAGATTGCACAAAAAACCGTTTGGAACCATTTGAATAAGGCTGGATACAAAAAGAAGCTCGATGTATGGGTGCCACACGAGTTAACGAAAAAAAACCTCATGGACCGAATTTCCATCTGCGAATCGCTGCTGAATCGCAACAAAATCGACCCATTTCTGAAGCGGTTGGTCACTGGTGAAGAAAAGTGGGTCACTTACGACAACGTCAAGCGAAAACGGTCGTGGTCGAATCGCGGTGAGCCGGCGGAAACGGTGGCCAAGCCAGGATTGACGACCAGGAAGGTTTTGCTGTGTGTTTGGTGGAATTGGCAGGGAATTATCTACTATAAGCTGCTCCCCTACGGCAAAACTCTTAACTCAGAACTGTACTGTCAACAATTGGACCGTCTGTAGGAAGCAATCGCCCAGAAGCGGCCAGCTTTGGCCAATAGGAGAGGAATTGTGTTCCATCAGGACAACGCGAGGCCACACACATCGATAGTGACTCGCCAGAAGCTCCGGGAGCTTGGTTGGGAGGTTCTTATGCATCCACCTTATAGACCGGACCTGGCACCAAGTGATTACCATCTGTTCCTGTCCATGGCGAACAATTTTGCTGGTGAAAAATTCGCTTCAAGAGAGGCTTGTGAAAATAGACTGTCTCAATTTTTTGCCAATAGGGACGAGGACTTCTATGAGAGAGGCATAATGAAATTACCTTCAAAATGGCAACAAGTTATCGAACAAAACGGCGCAAATTTGATCTAAATAGGATCATCCTAACTACGGTAATTAAAGCCTTCAATTTCATGCAAACATAATGGATTTCTTTTTACTACACCTGATATCAGAGGTTACCAACTACCGGCCCGCGAAGTCGTTGAAAAAAGTATTAAACAATGACAAATAAAATTATCTGACAAAGCAGGAATTAAAAAATTTGACAAGCCTAATTTTGTTGTTAAAGTTTGTGTCTGACTTTTTTTTTGTTTACAAGGAGGAGGTCCTCATGGATACCCCAGCTCTTTTGGGGGCAGGCGAGGGTTATATCGGATTCTTATCAACTAAACCTTTCCGGCGTATCTTTCAGGTGGGTCGAAGTGGGTCGAAGGGAGGAGTTGGGGGAATCGCATCAGCATTCCCTCCCTAAGTTTGTGTCTAACTAATGTATCTTTTTTAATTTTAATTCCCTCCCTAAGTTTGTGTCTAACTAATGTATCTTTTTTAATTTTAATATCCAATGAAAAACTTCAAAATTATGATTTTTATTTTTTTCTCAATTGAATACATTTTTTATCCTTGAATAACATGACAAATGTTAGATAATTATTATATGGCCCGCCACTGTAGTCGGTTGTGGCCCTCGAAGACTTAGATGTTGGAAACCCCTGATATACAGGGTGCACGATTTATCTGAAGACATTAAAATATCTCGAGAACTATTCATTGGATAAAAAAAGTGGTTAATGAAAGTTGTTAGTCTCGAAGGGGGACATCCAATGGTACCAAACTCGACCTCCCACTCCACCCCCTGGGGGTGGGGGTTGGGGGCAACTTTGAAATCTTAAATGGAAACCCCCATTTTTTATTGCAGATACGGATTCTACGCCACAAAATACGTAAATTTTGTCCGAAACTTTTTTTTTGATTCGTGATAGATGGCGCTGTAATCGCAAAAAATTATATTTTCCGCAATTCTCCAGAAATGATCATTGGATTGAGAAATAAAAAATACCTGTTCAATATTTTTAAAGAACATAATAAAAGTTATTCCCCCTCCCATCCTCTCGCGGTAGGGTGGGTGGTAACGTTCAAATCTCAAATGGGAACCCGAATCGAAGAGGGAACTGCTCGACGCGCCACTGTGGGTGTATGGCGAACTACGGCTTATTATAAAAGGCAGTGCAATGCTATCTATCATGAATGAAAAAAATTGTTTCAATAAAAATTTCACGTACAATCTAATTCTGCAATGAAAAATGTAGGTCCCCATTTGAGATTTGAACGTTATCACCCACCTTACCCCGAGAGGATGGGGGGGGAATAACTTTTATTATGTTCTTTAAAAATATTGAACAGGTATTTTTCATTTCTCAATCCAATGATCATTTCTGGAGAATTGCGGAAAATATAATTTTTTGCGACTCCAGCGCCATCTATCACGAATCGAAAAAAAAGTTTCGGACAAAATTTACGTATTTTGTGGCGTAGAATCCGTATCTGCAATAAAAAATGGGGGTTTCCATTTAAGATTTCAAAGTTGCCCCTAACCCCCACCCCCAGGGGGTGGAGTGGGAGGTCGAGTTTGGTATCATTGGATGTCCTCCTTCGAGACTAACAACTTTTATTAACCACTTTTTTTTATCCAATGCATAGTTCTCGAGATATTTCAATGTCTTCAGATAAATCGTGCACCCTGTATATGATAATGCATCATTATATGGCCATATATGGATAAAATTCATATCTAATCTTTTTTTCCTCGAAATGTCTTGTCGCGCATGTCCACTCATACTCGAGAAGAATTTATCAAACTGAGTAAAAATATTGCTTGCAATTTTGTTCTTAACCTTTGGCTGTTAACGAGCCGATCTATCGATACGTAATCGAGAACTGCCACGGGCCGATACATAGGCTCCGTATGTTTACATTTAGATTATCACTCCTCTCGATGTCAAGTTGCTTTCGCTCACGGTTAATCATTATCTCTAATGCTTAGTATCATATTTCTTTTTTATTTGAAAGTTTATCGGTCGTTTTTTCTTCAGTCTCTCGTGTGCAATCACTTAGTAAAAGGTGAAGCATTCTACTAACTTCTTTATAAAGCAATTTATAGAAGGTGCATATCAAATCGGCCCTGGCAGTCTTTGCATATACCGCGTAGATGGACCTCACAGTAAAAGAGTTAAAATAAATTAAGGCTAAATTAAAGATAAATAAGTCTTTTCATTATTATTTTCTGTCTCAACATATAAATACAAATGGAAAACAAAAATATATAAAAGACATAAGTTGTAACGCAAAATTTGTTAATTGCTACAACTTTTTATTTTGATGATTGATTTTATCTAATTACTAACTTTATTTAAGAATAGAAACTTATTTCTTCTAAATTTCATATTGCCGAATTCAAGTGTTATTAGATTAGATGTATACATTATGTTTCAAAAAGTTGGAATGCTTTTCTTATTGCATTCAGAACATGGCAGATGTCCAATGAGAGAAAACACCTAATCTGTAAGAATTTTCTAAAAACAAATTATCTCGCTGGGGCATCGGTTATATTGAGAATTGCACCTCAAAGAAAATGTTCAAATCGTTTTGAAAACCAGGACATACTTAATTCTTTCTTAATTGCATCCATTAGCTAGTTATAGCATTAATTACTTCCATTTTGAATATTCCTCGTATTATGCATCTTTTATTGAGGAATCAGTTAGAATTACTTACTTACTCGCGCTAATGATCCTCTGCTGTTGTCGAAAAGCGGCATGCTTATTTTTTCGGTAGTGCTTGTGTTCAAGATTCCTTCAATAATATACACGATAATAATTAAATAGAAAAGCATATATATCGCATTGAACTATTAGGTGTACAAATGAATAATCCAAATTATTTTAAGCAGTTATGAAATCAATTTTAAATTGAATAGATTTTCCCGCTCTTTTGTGATTATGCAATGTTGACATATAGCTGTTAAAAAGGACATATAGTTTGGCGAAAGGTCCAACATAACCTTCAAAAGTATTCAGTTCAATACAGTCGAAAATGGCAACAGATAAGGTGCATATCCGACACTGCATTCTTTACGAATTCCAACAAGGAAAAAATGCTGCAAGAGCGTGCGAATCGATTTGTTCCTTTCTCGGCGAAGGTATTGTATCGTACGATGTGTGCGCATTTTGGTTTAAGCGGTTTAAAAGCGGTAATTTCATTCTAATCGACAAACAACGTCCTGGAGGCCCTCTGAAGTGCGATAATGATGATTTAGAACAACTGCTCGCTGAGAATTCGGCTCAAACACAAAAAGAGCTTGCAGAACAGTTGGCAGTAACGCAGCAAACGATTTCCAAACGCCTACATGAGATGGGAAAGATCCAGAAAGAAGGAAAATGGGTTCCGCATGAACTCACTGAAACCAACAAAAATCAACGAGTGGCAGCGTGTCTTTCTCTTCTCAATAAGCAACGTCGAAAGTCTTTCTTGTGGAAAATCGTTACGGGCGATGAGAAATGGATACTCTATGACAATCCGAAACGCAGAAAAACATGGGTAAATCCCGGCGAATCATCAAAATCGGTCGCAAAACCCAATCGCTTCGGAAAGAAGGTTCTTCTCATTTGATGGGATATCAAGGGCGTGCTTTATTATGAGTTGTTGGAACCGGGTGAAACAGTTACTGCGGACTGCTACCAACGTCAATTAATCTGCTTGAGTCAAGAATTGGAACGAAAACGCCCGTATACTGACAAAGGAGAACGTCCAGTGAAATTGTTGCATGACAACTCCAGGCCACACATTGCTTCCAATACAAAAGACATCATAATGAGTCTTGGCTGGGACGTCTTGCAGCATGGCTGGCGTATTCACCAAACATTGCTCCATCCGATTATCACTTGTTCCGGTCGATGCAATACGCCTTGTCCGATATGCACTTATAATCAGTGGATGAGATCCAAAAATGGCTTGACGTGGCTTTATCGTGTCCAAGAACGTAACATTTTTCCGAGATAGAATTCATCAGCTGCCTGAAAGATGGCTTAAAGTTATAGAAGGCAACGGCGAATACTTTGAACAATTTAATTTACTTTTTTTTAAAATAAACCTTGAATGTAGCTGAAAAAAATAGATTATTCATTTGTACACCTAATATAAACAGATATTATTATTATCTAATCACGAGATACAGAATTATTACTTTTTGCGACTACAATTATAAAATAATAATTATTAAACATATCTTTTGCACGTGGAAATATAATTATTTAACGAAATTCTTTTTATTATGGAATATTAATTTTGGTTAATCTGTGCGTCTTACGTAAAAAGCAGATTCTTAATATACTAAATCCTTTTAGCTAAATTTTAATCTGCTAAAAACAGAAAAAAATCTGATCGTTTCATTCACTAAAAAAAAAATCATATACTTTTGCTGAGGAAAAAAGAAGGAAGAGAGAGAGAGAGAGAAAAAAAGAGAGAGAGAGAGAGAGAGAGAGAGAAGGAAAGAAAGCGAGAGCAGAGAGAAATATATACATATATGTATTATTATCTACCTGCAGCATCCTTCCCATGTGACAGAATTAACAATAATAACGTCAGTAGTATCGGTGAGAGAATCGCCATGCCAGTTGACATTCTTAATAACAACCTTGGATACAGGTTTCTGGTTCCAAGGACTTGCCGTGGTAAAATATATGCTTATCCGCTCGCTCACGTCCATTTGTTATCAGTTTTCCTGATCCACTATGTTGCAGGCAATTAGTTCCACGATAGAAGTGGTAATGAAGTGAGATTATCTTACGTAAGCCTTCTTTTCATTTCTCGTTCCAAGACGTATAATTAGTGCGCGTATTTCGAGCAAAATGATTATTTTCACAGTCATTCACAGTAGAACTGAATAGTGCAGTCGATAAATGATCAACGTAAAATTCAAGGCACGAAGTAAATAATTTTGTAGTAAGAAAGGAAACCAATACATACATGGTGAATTTATTGTAAACTTTCCGTTACAAGAAAAAGTTTTTATTTTTTGTAACAATATGTTGCATAAATTTTACATTTCCATTGTACTTCCGTTGTCACAAATAGCAATAGAGATTTTTATATATCGACTCAAGTTAGTTCTAATTAAACGCAAATACAATGGGTTTTGATTCCTAGTTCAAGTATCTTATATATATTATTGAATACATACATGTATAAGGCTATATTTATATAGAAATTTAATTTTGTGCGTTAAATATAATCTGTTATCTTGGATTAATCCCAAATAAATCTCGCGTTAACGATGTGTTTACTTTCCTATATTCTAATTTATTTGCAGGATTTTTTATATAACGTCACGAGAAAGATTTAAAGAACAACGAAAAAGAATTTAATTTACTTTATGTTAATATTATTCACCATAGAGGAAAGAGTAGTAATATGGAACTCCACTTTGTTTTTGAACGATTTCTTCTAAGTTATAAGCTCAATCTTTTTATTTTTTATATGCTTAGATTCTTTGTTCTATTGGCAATCCATTTCTAATTTTCAATTAATGATTCTCTACTTACAAGAAAAGCTGCTTAAAAATGATCGTAAAGTGAGTAATTGAGTCGTATGTCATATGCTGGTAATATGGACCATATACTTTTTGAGTGCGGAAAATTACAAACAATTCATAAAACATTAAATAACTTTCAAAAAAGTATTACATTTATTAAAGGAATTATTATAGATGAATACATGAAAAAACGTTTTATTAAAATAAAAAATTATAATTAAAAAAATATTAAAAAAGAAAAACAAATTTTCGTTTAGCGGTAATAATCGCGAACATATTCTGCTTTCCCTGCCCCTGCACATTCATTGTGAGCCCAGAGACTGCACATGAGACATTGAATCCACAGTTCATCCTTAACATTGTCCGAAAATTTCTCCTCGCAAAACAAGCAGAAAGCGTCTTTCTGGTCAGGCTGCGGCTCATCGACCGGAAGTTCAATCGGAGAATCGCAAAAACGAGAAGAGAGTGTATCTTCATCAGTCTCATATTCAAGTCTTTTTTGCAAATTTTAAGCACCCTTTTCCTCTTCCACGATCACGACTAAACCCAGAAGTAGAAAGAAGATTTTCTTCACAATGGCTTTTTACGAGAGCGTTGGATGATTCATAAGAAGTTCCAGTTGGTTTCTTAAGTGCAAGTGTGTCTTTGTAGCGACGAAGAAAATGATCAAGCCACGCTCTCCTTGCACATTCATCTCTGAAATTGTTCTGAACGCCGTACAGTGGGATATTTGGCCTGAAAAGCTGGCCAAAAGTCAATTTTCTTAAAATCATTTCTGCTCTACATGAGTGACTGTCCTAGACAGTTGAATATCTGCGGAATCATGGATTGCTATGCTTTTGTTCATCTACGATAATATGAAGCGCTTTGGTTAGTCGGAATTTGGATGTTATTCGTATTGCATGCATCCATTCTCAGCGTTTTATCACATACGATCCTCGATCAGAATTTTAAGGTTCTTAGAAGTGGCAGCGCGAAATTTTTCATTATGGGTTGTTTCGAGAAAGATATGAAGAAACGTTTTAGACTATATTTATTACAATTGAATTGTTATCCACGTAGATATATTAGGAGTAAAATAAGTTTCCTCCGTTTGACAAAAGATGGCCCCACCAGAAGGTTATGTTGAAATTGTCAAATGTAAAACGTAATATCGTAAGTTTGGACATCTGGTAACAACATAACCTTGAAGTATTAGTGACTCCGTATCAGCATCACATAATTTTTTTCGTGCGAAAATGTCAAGTTTTGTGCCGAATAAGCGTCATTTGCGGGAACTTTTGATTTCTTTAATTTGAAGAAATCTGCAGCTGAGGCGCATCGATTGCTTGTAGAAGCATATGGTGAGACTGCTTTAAGTGAAAGAAGTTGTCGTGAGTGGTTTCAAAAGTTTAAAAACGGTGAGTTTGACGTGGAAGACAAAGAACGTAGTGGAAGTCCGAAAGTGTACGAAGACACGGAATTGGAAGCATTATTGAAGGAAAATTCGTACCAAACGCAAGAAGAACTTGCACTTACATTAGAAGTGACTCAACAAGCAATTTCACATCGTTTAAAATCGTTGGGAATGATGCAAAAACAAGGAAATTGGATTCCATATGAATTGAAGCCGAGAGACGTTGAACGCCGATTTTGCACGTGTGAAATGCTGTTTGCCAGGCATAAAAGAAAGGATTTTTTGCATCGTATAGTCACTGGTGATGAAAAATGGATCCACGACATCCCTACGATAACCCAAAGAAGAAAAAATCATGGGGACCACCTGGCCATGCTTCAACATCGACAGCCAAACTGAATATTCATGGAAAAAAATTCATGCTGTATATTTGGTGGAATCAGCTTGGTGTCTTGTATTATGAGTTGCTCAAACCGAGCGAAACCATCACTGGAGCTCTCTACCGAACACAATTAATGAGATTGAGCTAAGCACTCAAGGAAAAACGCGCCCATTACTACTCCAGACACGACAAAATTATTCTCCTATATGACAACGCTCGGCCACATGTTGCAAAACCGGTCAAAACCTATTTGGAAACACTTAATTGGGAAGTCCTACCCCACCCGCCGTATTCACCAGACAGTGCCCCTTCCGATTATCACTTGTTCCGGTCGATGGCACATGGCCTGTCTAAGCAGCGCTTTACATCATATGAAGATACTAAAAATTGGGTCGATTCGTGGATAATCTCAAAAGGTGAAGAGTTCTTTCGACGTGGTATCCGAATACTGCCAGAAAGATGGGAAAAAGTAGTGGCTAGTGATGGACAATACTTTGAATAAAACGTAATGTACCGTTCTTTAACAATAAATTCCTAATTCTTGATAGAAAACGGCGGAAACTTATTTGTACTCCTAATACGATTTTGAAAATAGCATTCAATAATATGTTTTTTTTTGCGTTCTCGATGTCAAACTCAAAGGATTTAGTTATATTTCTGGGTCTGTCCCTGTAACGTTTCTTGGATGAAATGAAAGAGTAATCTCTCCGGATAAAATATTAGGTGCGCAACTAGTTTCTGGATTTCACACATGGATGACGCTAACGACACATGTAGTCGACATATATGTCTGAAGTTGTTTTTTTTATAGCTTGGACATCTGTTAACAATAACCAGTCGTAGTACCAACACATATCGCAACGCAAAAATATTTTTTCTAACAACGAAGATGTCGAGTTTTGTGCCAAATAAACAGCATTTGCGGACAGCTTTGATTTTCTGCTTTAACTTGAAAAAAAGTGCAGCTGAAGCACGTCGTTTGCTTGAGAAGGCCTACGGCGAACATGCACCATCGAAAACTACCTGTGAAGATTGGTTTAAACGCTTCAGAAGTGGCGATTTCGACACTGAGGACAAGGAACGCTCCGGAAGACTAAAAAATTGAAGACGCCGATCTGCAAGCGTTATTGGATGAAGATGATACGCAAACACAAGATAAACTTGCGGAGGCATTAAACATGACTCGCCAAGGTATTTGCAAACGTTTACATGCTATGGGAAAAATTCAAGAGGAAGGAAAATGGGTGTCGCATGAGTTGACTGAGAGACAGATGGAAAATCGAAGAGCCACTTCTGAAATTTTGCTTTTGCGGCATGAAAGAAAGAGTTCCCTGCATCGAATTGTTACTGGCGATGAGAAGTGGATATATTTCGAGAATCCCAAATGCACAAAATCGTAGCTTTCACCTGGCGAAGCATCAACATCGACGACACGGCCAAATCGCTTCGGAAAGAAGACAATGCTCTGCGTTTGGTGGGACCAGAAGGAATCGTGTACTATGAGCTGCTGAAATCGGGCGAAACTATCAATGGTAGCATCGCTACCGACAACTGATCAATTTGAACCATGCATTGCTCGAAAAACGGCCAGAATGGGACACGAGACACAAACGAGTGATATTGCAGCACGACAACGCTCCATGCCATCGCACTTCCATCGTCCAGGACACCATCAAAACGCTGAAATGGGATCTGCTACCGCACCCGCCGCAGCAGACCTGGCCCCTTCCGATTATCGTTTGTTCCGGTCGATGGCGCATGGCTTGGCCGGGCAACATTTGGCCAATTTCGAAGAAGTGCTAAATTGGCTGGATGAATGGTTTCGGTCCAAAGACGCGTCGTTTTATCGTCGCGGTATTCATGTATCGCCAGAGAGATGGCAAAAATGTGTAACTAGCGAGGGATACTTTGAATAAACCGTTTTTTGTATTTCTCTTGAAATTTTCCATTTTTCATTGATCAAAGAACCCGGAAACTTAGTTGCACACCTAGTATCAGAAAAAATTAGCCGCGGAAAACCGCGTATGTAGTTTTAGTAATTACTTTTGTTTCCCTAAACATAAATTAGGTTATGTCCAAAGGTTATTTAGACATGAAGTTTCTTTTTGTAGGATCTTTTAGTGTCGAAACTATGTCACGAAAAGAAATATACGATATTATGAAACACTACGAACAACATTGCTGAAAAATTAAAATTAATGGAAAATTTTCTATTAAATAAAGCAAAATTGCCTCAAGAACATAAGACAAAACATAAAGAGCTAAAACACAATTTATCATATGTTAAGTCACAGTTTAAAGCCAGATGGCTCGCTATATATAAGAAAGAACATGTTTTCTTAAGAAATAATGATAGCTGGCTTCAAGATACCTTCAAGGCTTCGAAATACCTGTTATGAAACGAACTGGCCGACCAACGAAGTGTTTTAAGGAATTAAGTGAACGCAATAAAAGACGGAAGACACAGGATATTAGGGCACATATTGATACTGAAGAACTGTCTTTTGCTACACAAATGAAGTTACGAATAAGTGGAAACGTAGATGCCTCGAAAGTCATGAAAGATATTATCAAGTCCCCAAATC